TCCTGAAAGAAACCAAAGTTCAACTGAGAGAGCAGCAGCAGCAGCTTCTTCGGGAGAACCAATACATTCAGGACATGGCACACATGCGCCACTGGTTACACCAGCGCGAGGCACACAGTGCAAATGGCAAAACCTACAGCGCTCACAGCCCGTTCAGATGTGTCCATTAACCTAAAAAAAACAGTTTTTCACTCCTCACTCCTGCCAATGTATCAGTTGATATAGCTGGACTGTCAGCTGTTGCCACCCTTAGGTAAGAGAGTATACAGAAGTAAATGTTCTGTGGGTGAATGAAAGGATTGATTTACATGGCTCATGCTCAGCATGCAGTCCAGAGAACAGATCTTAAAAGTAACCTCAGCTTTAACTTCTGTGACATCTGCATTAAGACATCTGAAACTGCAAACCCTTCACATCCCAAAATAAACAATATTTTCTCTTTGAGATCAAACTTCGATGTTTTGTTAATTAGCAATTTTCCATGGGCAAATTTCCATTATATTAGACGTAGTGAGCCAATCTCTCTGTTACTTTTCAGTGGAAACTACATCTACTGATGCCATAGTATGAACTATTGTAGGCCAGCTCTTACTTTCAGCAGCATTCATTTTCCCAAATCTCCTACATGGCAAAGACTTTATTTCACCTTCTGCTAGTCTCCAAAGGAGAGAAGATAAATACATAAGCAACCAAATCCTTTAAACAATATAAGTAGTTGAGGTCTTTGGCCCTTGATCATAACTATCGGTAAAATATATTCACTGAATATATTCATATCGCTTTTTACTTTCTTCTCATTCTTTTCTTGCTTTAGTGTTCACTTGAGAAGCAAGAGGTAAAGAGTTCTGTTTCCTAATAGACTACAGCTGCACTCACTTTCCAAGTTGAACATTTCTGGATTTCAATTACCTCATCAACAATGACACCAGAGGTCACCCTTACTCTAAGTTTTAACATTCACACAGGGATATTTTAGACAGAAGCAGACCTTAGCTGAGGTTGGAAGAGACCTCAAAGGAGGGTCAACCAGAGCAGAGCCACTTTTCAGGTCTCCAAGGACAGAGACTCCACAGCCTCTCTGTGCAGCCTGTTACAGTGTTTGATCACACAGTAAAAAAAGTTTTTTCTTACATTTATATGGAATTTCAATTCCATCACAAATTTCAACTTCAGAACAGTCTGGCTCTGCCTTCCCCCCTGCTCCACCTAGTATTTAAACACATTAGTAAGATCCCCTGAGCCTCCTCCAAGCTAAACAATCCCAGTTCTCAGCCTCTTCCTCTATTACAGGTGCTCCAAGCCTTAACCGTCTTTGTGGCCCTTTGCTGGACACAATCCTGTCTGTCTGTGTCTGCCTTACGCTGGGGAGCCCAGAACCATACAAGACACTCTCTAGGTGTGTTCTCTCAGTGCTGCGCAAAAGGGAAGGCTCACCTCTCTCAGACAGCTGGCAAGGTTCTTCCTAGCACAGCCTAGGACAATGTTCACCACCTTTGCTGCAAGAATACATTTGCTGGCTCATCGTCAACCTGGTGTCCACCTGGACCTCCGGGTCCTTTCCTGCCAAGCTGTCTTCTAGCCTGATAGCTGCCAGCCTGTACTGCTGCATGGGATTATTCCTCCCCAGATCCAGGACTCGGCGTTTTCCAGCGATGAAGTTCACAAGGTTCCTGTTGGCCTGACAGCGTCCCTCTGAATAGCAGCACAGCCATCTGCTCTATCAACACTCCTCCCTGGTTTTTCAGCACCTGCAAGCTTGCCGAGTCTGCACTCCAGCCCACCATCCAGCTGATTAATGAAGAAGCTGAACAGCGGTGGCACCTGTATTGACCACCACCGTGGTACCCCACTAGCCACTGACCTCCCAGCTGGACTTCACGTCACTGACGACAAACCTTTGCTTCCAGCAGCTCGGGAAGCTCGCAGCCTGTCTAACCGTGCACTTAACTAGTCTGTTCTTACTCGGTTTGTCAACAAGGATGTTACGGGAATCAGTGTCTGCCAGACCGTGCGGCTAGCAAGGACAGATTTACACCGTAGGCATTAACCTACGCTTTGCACCGCCCTCCCACCGCCCTCCCGGAAGCAGAGAGCGGCACCGCGGCCAC